ATATCATGTCTGCATCTTGTCCTCTGAGTAACTACTATGAAGACAACAATATGCACTTATTTATTATTATTATTATTATTATTATTATTGTATTTTTAGGGAAGGGTCTATAGGGTGTTCAGGGTCTCACTACTAGATCGGACTTATAGTGATCCGCCTGTTTACAGCCTCCTAAACTGGGATTACAGGTGCACGCCACCACGCCCACTCTAAATTGCCATCTCAGTGTGCCCTGGGGGGTGGAGCAGGCACAGCAGGCCTAGGGATTGAACCCCTGGCCCCTGAGCCTGCTTGCAGGCACTTTAATTCACTGAGCTATTTGGTTGGCCCTGAATGTATTAATTATTGTAACTGTCCTACTAACCTGTTTTGAAACTATTTCATTGCTATTTTATCTTTTTTTCTCATTAAAATGAATAATTTTTTTAAATTAATATTTCAATACATATATATTCAGCTTTTTTCCTGAGGAGGTGTGCCCATCTTTCCCCATCAAAAGAAAATCATATTCTAATTGTCACCAGTCTCTTAATAAAACATAAGCATGCTTGTCCCAGCTCCCTGTTCATTTCCTTTATGGCCCAAGTTTTAGTCTCCATCCAGGAACTGGTGTGTGTGTGTGTGTGTGTGTGTGTGTTCATTGTCTCTCTACCTGAGGGTGTGCAGGCTCTGTGACAGTGTGGATCTTGTCCATCCTGGTTGTTGTAATGTCCGCAGCACGAAGCACATGCTGGACACAGGGAAGCCCCATGTTCTTTTTCTATTGTCACACAACCAATTACTGCAAGTGGAGTGTACAAAACCAGGGTGCACTTACTGTTCCACAGTGTTGTAGGTAGGTCAGAAGTTCAGAGGGGCTCAACGGGGCTCTCACTTAGGGTCTCATAAAAGCAAAATCAGGACAGACCTGGCCGGACTTTCACAGGAAGGCTCTGGGGATGTGTGTACTCCAAGCTCACTGAGGTTATTGGCAGATTTCAGTTTCTTGTGGTTCTACAACTGGGGTTGCTGTTTCCTTGCCGGCTGTCAGCGGGCGGTCACCCTCGTGTTCCTCCTGAAAGGAATCGTGCAGGTCCTAGCCTCATGCTCTCCCCTCTTCCCTCCCCATCCCGCCTCCCCCCACCACTGTTCAGCATAGTGAGTCTTACCATGTTTCCCAATTCGCTCGCAAATTTCTCTTGTCACAGTTGAAGTCAAGTGTCTGCTTATCAAGGGCTTGTTCAGATCATCTTTTGTTTAATTTCAAGTCACCTGTCAGTAGCTTTAGTGACCTTTGTAAGATAACAGAGCCATGGTCTAATATGCTTGGGCTCTCATGGCCAGGGATAAATGTAGGAAGTCTTGTAGGGGGGCCTGCTGAGGAGATTCTGGGGTTCTGTCTACTCTTACCACCCTTTAATATCTATTAAAAAATGAGCAAATCACCCTGCGCCATGCACTGTACAAACCACAAATGGACGCTCAGGAAACAAGACTGCCCACGTAGAGCTTACAGTCTACCTAGACACGTGAAAGTGGCCCTTTTAGATCTAAGTCATTCCCTGAACTGCAACCCCAAACCCACTTATTTATCACAAAGTGCCAATGCTGCAATTAAGCCTGGATACCAATGTTTTGGTTTAGGAAAACAACAACAACAACAACTGCTATCTGATGATCTGATGCTAGGTTGCTGGGGCAGTGTGGCGCCCTGGCCAACAGAGAGGACTGCATGCCTGCTCCGGCATGTGTGCCACAGGCTCCCCACCACTGACCTGGCCCACGGCTCTTCAGTCAATAATAGAAAGCAAGCCACATTTGTAATATTGAATTTACTAGAAGCCACATTTTAAAAATTGGCAAAAAGTGGGAAGAATTTTTTTTTAAACATTTATTTAGTGTGTGTGTGTGTGTGTGTGTGTGTGGCCAGCTCAGCCCACCAGGGGGCGGGTCTGGCTGGCATGTGGTGCTGGAGGATCGAACCACGGTCCTTGTGCTTTGCCAAGCTTGTTCCAAGTAGGTGCTTTAGACCACTGAGCCATCTCACCAGCCCAAGTGGGAAGAATTAATGGCAATGTATATTTGGTTCTCTTCAATATCTCTACATTGTCATTTTGACAAAGTCAATATAAAATTTGTTCCTGAAATAGTTTATATTCTTTTTTACATGTTGAGTCTTCAGTATCTGGCTTTACACAGCACATCTCTTTTGGGGCTGGCCAGGGCTCCCCGGCCACATGGGACCAGCAGCTGTCACATCCTGGAGTGCACGTGAGGCTTCCCGGGAAGACACAAAAGTCTAAGCTGAGACCAACAAACAGGGTAGTCAGGCCGGTGCTCAGTATGAGAGTGTGTCCGACAGAGAGGTGTGTTTGCAGGAGGAGGGAAAAGAAAGCTTTAGTGCTGAGGCAGCTGGCTCAGCACAGGGGGAAGAGAAGTGCGGAAGGCCAGGGCAGAGAGGAGCGTGAGAGAGGCCTGACGGATACGTGCCAGCGTGGCCCCAAGCCTGTGGTCTTCTATCCTGAGAGCCGCAGGATGCTGTGGCGGGGGGAGATTATAAACAGGGGTAGTAAAGCTTCGCTGGGGATGTGTAGAGAAAGTCGTTGTCACCATGGAAACAGTGCTGTTTAAGAAAATCTAGAGTTGGGTTCAGGAAGAGAAGATGCCGGAAGGGTTAGGGCCATTGGCTGTGACCATCTGGGTGACAGAGCACTGAACTGGTCAGGGATTATCTTGCAGTGGGTGGCAGTCAGGACTGCCTCATTGCTGGAAAGCAGAACTGCTTGTTTGCTTCTTAGGAAGCATATTTTTGCTTGTCCCTCCACAAGTGATCATCTGCCTTTCTAACTGATGAGATCCCCACCCCCAGTGCAGACTGCGTTGGCCTCCCAGTGAATGGACTGTTTGATTTGAGGAGTGGTAGCCCTTCTGGAAAGTTCTCTCCTCTGCAGCCTGAGCCTTACCCAAAAGCAGCACGCTGTAGTTGGGAGGCACTGTGCTCTGCTCTGTGACCTGTTACCCAGCTGGAAACCTTTCTCACAACTGAATAAATGATTGTTCTTTGCTACTTTATCTTGGAAAAACATCAAGGACATAGGACATTCACTGTAATTATTTTTCACTCACTTCCCCATCTGTAGAAAAATGACCTGTGCATTTTAATACTACTTTGGGTTTCCCTTTAGCCTTTTAATATATTGGCCAGCCCTTTAAAAGAATGGTTAAGAAGTGCTTAATGCAGAAAAGAATTAGAGCTATGCACAGCTTGTGAAACAGAAAGCGTGCTCTGACTTACAATTTTCATACAAAGTTTGCAGAGATTTTATACGCCAGAATGAGTAATATGATCTGCTCTAGGAACTCCCTAACTTTCTGGCTCTGCAAAAGTCATTTTTTGCCCCGATTCAAGTTTCTTAACCAGAAGGGTTACACTGAACTCCTCAGAGCATGAATTACCAGAGTTCACCCAAGCCACATGTTTCATTTACACTGCAAATGATGGCTCCAAATAGTGGCCTACCTGTGCAGACAATGGGATCTTTAGTGTGGGACCTGAGCAACACTGTGCAATAACCACCGACCCAGACAGCTCTGGCTGTCTATATGTAAGGGTGTGTGTGTGTGTGTGTGTGTGTGTGTGTGTCCTCTCCCTGCCACAGTCCCCACATAGCTGCAGAATTGTCATGTGCCCAGAAGCCCCCATAGCACATGAAAGCCCTATGTGACTCATAACTGCACAGGCACACGCAGCCAGGCCTTGCAGGGAAGGAAGCCACCGTCGCAAGGGCAGTGTGGCTGGCCCCCTCTTCGCACCCAGCTCCCGGTTGCTTCTGAAGCTGCAGCTGTGGTCCACACTCAGGGTCCTGCACCAGGATAGTGTGAACCCTGGACACTGCTGCGTACCTGTTCCCTGGGGCATGACGTAGGTAGATGAGTGACTGTTGTGCCTTTGTCAGCACACATCCTACGCACGGCCATTGGATGTGAGGATGAAAGCCAGCTTTGTTCAATCTGCTCTAAGGAGATTCTTTTTAAAATTTTTATTGTGGCAAAGCATGCACACCATAAAGCTTACCATTTTAATTTTTTAAATAAAGAATGCATATCAGTGGCCTAAGTACCATCATAAGTTTCTACCACCATCACCACTGTTCTTTTCTAGAATTTTTTTTAGCACCTCAAACAGAAATTCTGCACCCATTAACAAATAACTCTCCACTTCCTCCTCTTCCTAGCCATGGTAATTTATAACCTATTTTCTGCACCTATTAATTTTCCTATTCTAGATCTTATATAAATGAATCATATTATTTGTCTCTCTTGGTCTTATTTACTAGAGTTAGCATGAAGTCTTCCAGAGCCATCCATGCTGTAGCCTGCACCAGAGCTAATTTTTTTAATAACCAAGTAATACTCCCTTGTATGTGTATGTCATACTTCTGGCTACTGTGAATAATGATGCTTTGAATATTTGTGGACAAATACCTGTCTGAATGCTTGTTTTCAGATTGGGACATATACTAATGAATGGAATTATTGGCTCTAATATTCTCTTAAATTGTTGCTCTTAGACAACTTATAAGGGAATATTAAAGTTTCCGGTGTCTTGCATGTCTTTAAATCTCTAATCTCTATGGATCAGGTTATGAAAACATAACTCCACAGTTATTATAGAAAAATGTGGGGAGAAAATGTGATGTGTAATTTATTCATGTAGCAATAATCACTGGAACATTCTGATGTATTTCCTTCCCGTTTCCTTTCAGACAGTGGGAGTCACATGTACATAAAGGTGACACGGTTTGAAAGAGGTCTCTTCTCAGATGCACTTGTAGGACATAATTGACCTTTCTATTCCCTCTGTCTCTTCTCTGGGCTCCCTCCCCATTGCCTCCTCCCTGCTTCCACCCAACCCCAACCAAACAGAATGTAGAGAAGCCACTGCAAGATGGCTTTGGCGGGATCAGCGGGCCCTGTGGCCACTTTCTTTCCCTGCTAAATCATGCGCTCTCTTGTTGCAGCTGTCAGAAGGGCCGACTAAAGGGGAAGCACAGCTCTGCGGCAATACTCTGATAATCTATTGCAGTGCGGGTCATGTCACTGTCCAACACCAGGAGCAGCTCAGCAGAACTGAAGGGGCGAGTTCACCTTCATCGTCGACCATGATTCTCTTCTACTTCATATTTCCTTCATCATCTCCTTGTGGACTTGGATATATTGGAAAGGAAGGATGCACAGGAGGAGAAAAATGGCAACTCCTCCATTCTCTCATGGGATTTGGGCATTTAAAATGTGTCCATATATTCTGAATGTCCTTGCCTGATAACATTTTGTTTCTGTTACTTAAACCTCACTGGATATGTTGGAACTCCATAGGATTCTTAATATGAATTCAGCTTCTGCTGGGCAGCAAGCATCATCTCCAGCTGCTCTGCTGGTTTGGTCTAAGTGATCATTCCTAAAGCATTAGATTATCAAACTGTGTAAATTTGCTGTGAGTGAGTGGTGTTGGCGGTGTTTATCATGATGTGTGGAACCTCTGACAAACCAAAACACCAAAAATCGCAAGCCTTTGCCCTCCTCTATTTCTTTAATGTGCTGTTTGAAGAACCACATTTTGAGGTTGTAACCAATAGTTACCTCTGGGCCAGGTTGGAAATGAAATCAATTTTTTAAAACCACTAATACTTGCCAAGAAATCGCCTTATGAGAACATGGTGTGTGTCTCTGACAATGCGTGGCACATCTAGATTGTCATTCATAGCTTTCTCTCCCTGCTTACTGGAGAGTGGCAAAAGCCTGAGGCATCTGAGTGTCTCCCCTGTGTGTTTCTTTCTGGGCCCAGGGGCTGGGATGTACCGAAACTCGGGCTCCTACCATTCCCATATAGGCGGGTCTCCATGAAGAAGCTGGGACTCATTCACGCTTCCAGATCCAAGTGCTGTGCAAACAGCATTAGCCTACATCATCTGTAAACAAAGGGTCATTTCTCTCTTTTGTTGAAAGTACGTCTCCAACATGGATTCCAAAGCATTTTCAGCATTCAACATGAAATCGTTGGTGAATGCAGAACAATCACAAAAGTTGTGTATCTGTATATAGCTCTATACAGCCTGTCTGTGGATAACGAGTCATTACTTAAAGCACATGCCAGGGAAAGAGACCAAATTTCAAGGTCTTTTATATACAGTAACATGGTTCTAAGGAGAATTAAACTCCTACCACTTCCTCTGAAGATTAACGATATTAAAGTCATGAGTCTGGCAAATTTGCAACTCTTATACTGACCCACTCTCTGGTCAGAGGAAGAAGCCCTTCCACGTGTATGCAAGTGGGAGAGAAAACCCTGCATTTTTTAAAGGACAAACAGTGAATTTAAGCATGAGTGGCCTTAATAAATATAGTTGTCTTTCTTTGCTGCTGTGGAAAAGATTCTAAACAAATGTTCCTGAAGTCTTGCATTGAATTTAGTCATTACTATTCCTTTTTAAAATGTTGGTGCAATTAACTCTGGGCATCTGTGCGAGCTGTGGAGATCTTTAAAAGACAAACACCTTATTGGCAGGGAAGATGAACCTGTGCCTGAGCTGCACCTTTCCTGGATGGTGCCCAGAGTTCATGTATTCAAGCAAGTTTCTTTCTTCCAGCTTGGTTCTTATTGTCAGCAAGTATACTAAATTGTGTGAAGCTTACATGTTGCATAAAAAGTCCAAATACATTCACGTTTGAAAAGTTTGTCCTTTAATTCTCAAAGGGACGTAGGGCTTGGTTGGCGAAGTGAGCAGAGTTCTTTGCGAGATGAATTCCTACATTCGGACACAATGTCCCACTGCAAACCCAGGCCATAGGCTCATCCCCATGAACGGCTTGTCCTCACTGCCTCCTGCAGCCAGGTCCTGACCTGAACTCTGCAACCGAATACTTGAAATAGGAAGTAGGAAATCCAGTAGGAAAAATAGGGTCATTGAAATAGAAAAACAAAATATAAACAAACCATGTAGAGTTAGCTCTTTCTATGTGTGTGCCAATTTTGTCACAGTTATTGTTTGGGGGGATTGTTTTCTGCCCTGCTTTTGTTGATTAAAAGTATTATTGGTCCTCCCTTTCTGCAACCATATCATTTACTCCCTTAAAATTAAATCCTATCAAATATAGCATTTTTTCTCATTTGATGTAATATTCTCTTGACATTTGGAAGTTACAAAAACATCCCTTTTCACATATTAAAAATAGTCTCTGGGTTTACAACAAACACTGTGACGTTGAGAAGGTATTTTCTTTGTGCAAACATTAGCAAATTCCCTTCTACTTACAATGTAGTGAAGAGTTTGGGCTAACATTTAGGACAAGTTGGTCTAAGACTTACTATGTGCAAAGCAGGCTTGTACTTTATACCCCCTTTTGATTTCTATGTACAGTCTCAATTTTGTATTTAATGATTTTTGTGTATTCAATCTGCACGTTTACAGCGTGTCAACTTCCATTTGAAAGTGGGTTTTACTTTTTAAACAGTGTTTATGATGAGACCTCAAATGTATTGACATAAGCTCTCTCTGCGGTGTTCTTGTGTAGAGTGGTGTTTGAATGCTGCCAGGGGTCAATGTATCTACCTTCCCGAGACCCTCGTTTGATAGTGCTTCTTGTAATATTTCCTCAAGTGAGTGGCATGTGGGTTGTGATATTGACCATGTGATTATGGACATCGATGTGAAAAACATAAATAAAACTAAGGAACCCTCGAAACTACCAGTGGGCATGTATTAGCCAGTTATTGTAGCCTTTGTTCAGTAGCAGTACAATGTACAAGGTATGTACAGTTCCTGAATTTGTTATCATGTGTATGAGAAGTACTTTGTGCTGATCGCCTTATTTATATTCATCAAATAAACCTTATTTCTTTCTGAAGTGAGTTCATTCCATCTCTAATAAATGCTTCAATCCTAGTGGTTTCTAATATTTGGGGGGGGGTTATGGGTTCCCATTTGAAGAACCCAATGGATTTAAAGAAAAAACAGAAGTTTGTGACCCACTTAAGTGAACAGGGAAAGATCTAAGTCCTTTTTTTTTTTTTTTTTTTTTTTCAGAACAAGGGATTGAACTCAGGCCCTTGAGCTTGCCAGGGAAGCACTTATTCTACTGAGCTGTCTCCCCAGCCCTTAAGTCCCCTTTAAGGATGACTGGATATAGAGGCTCAAAGCAAGAAATGGAGTCATTGGCAGTATCTTCTTTCTTCCTTCCATTTGTTTCCCTTCCTTTTGTGCCCTGCTTTCTTGCCATCCTTCCTCCTGGTCCCTCTCTTTTTCCATCTTTCCATACCCTCCCTCTCTTTTTTCTTCTCTCTCTCTCTCTCTCTCTTTCTCTGGATTGGTTTTGGTCTCCCCTGAGCTATCTTCACTCATGCCAAAAGCATCTCTGAACAATATTGAGTATTTGTTTTTAGAGTACAGACAGTCTCTCTCCAAGCATCACTATCTGCCATCTAAAAGGACACTTAATGGTCCTTTTTGGATCATGTGTCCAATTATCATTTTTAAAGGAGTTTGCAGGATGTGATGTCATATGATTGACAGCTCTCCTAACTGAGAGTGGTAGTTTCCAGTGGGAAAACACAGCTTCCCTACGCTACAAGAGAGGGTCACAAAAACTGAGCAGGGTAAAAACTAGCCCTGCCACCATCTGTGTGCCCACACACAATCCTCCATGCAAGCATCACAGAGGATGCTCTCTTGGCTGGGGATCCTGTTAGAGTCTGCCAAACTAGTTCCCAATGGTTTGGATCACAGCCCACAGAATTAATTTCCAAATCTCACCTGGAATGAAGGCGAAGAGTGATTGCTAGAGACTATGTGATTTACCATGTAATCCAACATCCTCATTTTATCAGATGGGGAAACTGAGTCCCAGACATAAGTGACTACCCCAGACATACATGGTAAGTTCGCTGGGAAATAGAACTACACATCTCTGAAGGCACTCTGGGAAGGAGAGAAAGCAACAAAAATCTTCCAGTTGGGGATGGTGAAATAGTTCAGTGGCGTATACATGTACCTGGCAAGTGTAAGGTCCCGAGATTGATCCCTGGTTTGACCTGCTGTTCCTGCCCCGGATGGTGCGTGCCTGTAATCTGAGCACTAGGGAGGCTGAGATAGGAGGACAACTATGAGTCTGAGCTGTGTAACAAGGCCCTGTATAAAAAGAAATTTTAAAAAATAAAGAATAAAAAGGCCTTCCAGTTGTCATGGACAATGCAGGACAAATATCATTTGATTTTAATACCACATGGGTTTATGGTTTAAATTCCTTCATCATCAGGTATATTTGGGGGGACCAGAAAAGTTGTTTACCATTGTGATTCTGTTGCCCTTTTGTAGAAAAAAAAAAAAACCTTCAGTTGGACAAGAATAGATCTTCCTGAAGCATCTGGCTTGCATTCAGGCCTCGATATGTAAGCCCAGCAGGCCATAAGGAGCCTCTGTGACTCACAAGTCAGTCCCCTTGGTGAGAAAAGAAGCTGCCCACATGCTGCTGAACTCAAATCACAGGATAATCTGTCCATGCAGTTCCACTGAGGCACACAGTCTTAATGATGGTCTATTGAGGTCTGGACCCCCAAGACTACTTTGATTGCTTCTAGTGTCTACGAACGGCTGTTACCAAAGGAATAAAGACATGTTCTACCTTGGGATTGTTGATCCACAATGGCAATCATACAGATGATAAATAAACATGGATAATGAATAATTGAATGTCTGTTTGCTAGGAGCCAGGCCATGATGTTAAGGACTTATGTGCATCCACTGCCTTGATCCTTGACAGCAGTCTACTGATGTGAGTACTGTCATGATCGGCCTCTCACAGTGAAAGAAGTGGAAGCAAAGAGATGCACAGGAACAGCATGTGATGCCCAAGCACTTCCTTGGTTTCAATGTTGTGCTTAGTGCTGTGCTTCTAAGAACTCACTTATCCTCACGGTATTCCTATAAGGCAGGTGCAGTCACAAAGCCCACTTTATAAAGAAGGGAAAGGAAACCCATGAGCTGGCCTGCCTCATCTGGGACCTCCATGGGGCAAGACCATCTGCTTAGGGATACAGTGAGCACAAGGTGAGATAAGTGGGACATGGGGTGCTGAGATGTGGGGCCCCCTTAACCTGCCCATGCAGCAGTGCTTCCATGTTGCATTTGACCCCTGTCATGGCCATGGGGTTACTGTACCACTCGCTGCCATAGTTCACATTACAAGAGAGTCAGGGCTGGCCGGATAGCCCAGCAGACTAAATTGTCTGCAGGCAGAGTGCGGTGCTCAGGGTTTGACTCTTGGCGTGCCGTGCCAGCCCTGTCCCCAACTGAGATGGTGCTTCAGACTGGGTGTGGGTGGCACGTGCCTGTAATCTCAGCACTTGGGAGGCTGGAAACAGAAGAATCACTACAAGTCTGATCTACATAGTGAGATCCTGTAGACCCTGAAACAAATACATAAAAATCTGTGGATCCCAGTGGAAATCAAAGTCTAAGTGGAGAGTCAACCTGGACAAAGCTCAGCACAAATTCAATAGCTTTTCCTGAAATGCTTGGGACTGAAAGCATTTCAGATTTGGGGTTTTAAAGACTTCCTGAAATATTTGCATATGCATAATGAGATGTCTTGGGGAGGGGACCCAACTCTAAACACAGAACTCGGTTTTGTTTCATATACACTTGTTACAGATGAGACAGGTTGGACTTTTCCACTCCTGTCATCATGGCTTTACTAGAAATGTTTCAGACTCTGGAGCAGTTTAGATTTGGGATTTTCAGATCAGGGAAGTTTAAGTTGTACACTGGATTTAGCCCTGCTGCCCAGGGGCCTCTTTCTTTTCTGCTAAGTTCTCAGTTCCTCAGCATCAGTTCTACTGACTTCACAGGCATCGCCCGGCATCTATGGCCATTCTGAGTGCTTACGGTAGAGCATCTGATGACAAGACACTGAACATTTACTATGGGTGGGAGAAGGCCTTAGGGGCTGTGCTAAGGGGTGAGGGCATAAAGGTATTGGCCCCTGGTTCTCAGCATCACTCACTTGAATACCATACTTCTGACGTTTGCTGTATCTAAAAACAATGCATAGTCTCAAGTCATTTTATTTATTTATTTATTTATTTGTATGTATGTATGTGGTACAGGGCCTCACTGCGCCACTCAGACTCGTAGTGATCCTCCTGTTTTCAGTCTCCCCAGCACTGGGATTGCAGGCATGCACCACCACACCTGGACTCAATGGCTGGCTCAGTGCTCCTGGGGCCGTGGCTGGCACAGCATGTGGTACTGGGGATCGAACCCCAGTCCCTGCACTTGCCTCTGTAGGCACATAGTCTGCTGAGCTGTCTCACCAGTTCTCAAGTCATTTTAAATTAAATAGGCTCGCAATTATACTTATATAATATACTTTAAGCAATAGCGCCATGTCATAAATGAGAAAGTATTCCCATTTGCTATACGTGAGACCTAATCAAATATTAAGAATGGAAAACTGAAAACTAAGAAGAGAAATGATTTAAAAATAATTAAAACAGAGCTCAGAGCCAGAGATATTCTCTTCTTTATTAAGAAGAAACACTGGCAAAGGTTGAGAAAGGATTCCTAGGGCTAAAGCCTCATTCAGGGTTACTGAATCAGAACAATTGAAAAATGATCAACAAGGGAGTGTGGTCCCTGTACCTCAGAGTTATTAATGCTATATCCACAATCACTAATGTTATTTCTAGGTCCCTCTGTAATCTTTGAGTTTTAGGCAATCCTTCTATGAATACACTTTATTATTAAGTTCTTTTTTCCTTTAGAGCTCGGTGATCTACATGCCTGCCTGGCAAGCACAAGGTCCTGACTTCAATCCCCATTACCACATGCCAGGTAGGCCCTGGAATCCCAACTGTGCCCAGGCATAGTGGTGCACACCTGTAATCCCAACACTCGGGGAGGCTGAGACAGCATGGTCACTATGAATCCCAGGTGTGTGGCGAGACCCTGTATAAAAAAAAAAAAATTAAGTTTTAAAAAAGGAAGTCTTAGTGTCTCAGTTACTTTTCACTCACTGCTGGAACAAAATCCCCAACAGCCAAAATTAAGAAAGGAAGGTTTATTTAGATCACAGTTAGTGGAGGTTTCGGTCCATACTTCAGTCCATACTCAGCTGGCTCCAAGGCAGAGTAGCACATTGCAGAGGGCAGCAGTTCATGGCAGCAGAAAATAGCAAAGCAAGGGGAGGAGACACAGTGGTGGCTTCTTACGAGCCTCTTTGCCTTCCTTCCGTGCTGACTGGGAAGACCAGACCTCCTCCAAGGAAGTACCAGGGCTATGAAGATCGGAGCTCCTCTAAGGAAGTGGGGTGGCTCTTAAGATCAAGTACCTCTCAGGAAGCGGCATGCAGAATCCTTCTTCAACCCCTCCGCATACCCTTTTGTGCTGAGTCTCTCTAGGGAGGGCCCTCCATGCCCTAGGGAGGGGCCTTCCACATCCTAGAGCATGCAGTCCCTGAGCCATCCAGCCAAGCTTCGGACCCCTCAGGTTGACACAATGTATCAACCACCACACTTAGACTTACACAAAAATCAAGTATATAATATAGTGTGCCTTTTTCTCCATGTACCTGTAACTTCCACTATTATTAAGATCTTACAGGAAAGTGGTACACTGGCCACTCATAAATCAATATCAATACATTGTTAACTGAAGTCATTTACATTTTCTGGGTTTTACCCTAATGTCCTATTTTCAGTTCTGTTAAGAATCAGACATTCTGGTTAGTCATCTCATCTTCTTAGGATCCTTTTGGCTGTGAGGTACTCAAACAGCTCTTATTTCTTATGGCCTTGAAAGTTTGGGGGAACACTAATCAGGGATACTGTGATGTCTTAAAGTGAGTATTAA